CAGTACTTTGGGATGTTTCCTGTGTCCAATAAAGAAAAGCGCCACAGACGTTATGGAGCCATCACAAAGGCTTTACACTCTCCCCATCAAGAAATACTTTTTAGCAGTAAATGTTTGACTTAAGTCTTCAACATAAGTACAACTTCACCTACCAGATACCGAAGTGCATCCTTTTCATGGTTGATGCTTGTCTGCATTTAATGGCACTGCACTGAACTTCTGATGAGAATTTTTCATTTAATGGGACATTAATATACTCCAAACTACTTGTTAGAGAAACTATAAAGAAATTATTCCCCATTAATGACGCTGAAGCTCTGAATTTGTCCAAAATGTTGTCGGTTTTTACATTTCTGAAGAAACACAATTTCATTAAACTGTATTTGTTGATCTTTTTTGCTACAGTATTTCAAAGACTCCATATTTCTAAATGCAGTTTTTACGCATTGAAGCGTGGAAACAATAGGTTTTAAGACCATTAATATCTTACCTGGATGAATATCTTTTGGTCTGCAAATCATTCTCAATGGGATCAATACATGTCCTTTCTTATTGCAAAGGTTATTAAATAAAACCTCTGCACATTTCGATGGTAGAACAAGTGTTGACCTACCATTAAAACAGTACAAAAATATCAATAACTGCTTGTTCGTAGCAAAAACAGCATCGATATATCAGATTTTCAACAGCACAGCTTTGTTTCCATGTAGAAGATGTTGTTCCTCTAACTGTAAATCCCCAAATTGGTGGGTTACATGATGGCCGACCCCCCCTCAGGCACTGCTGTGGAAAAACAGCGATTGGTTTTGTGGTTTTGTGGTTTTGGAAGAACGTTCCCCCCTCTCCCCTGCAAGGCTACAGACCCTTACAGTAGCTTTTCTATGTTCTTAAGTTGCACATTAGTCAGCATTTTTTTAGTCGTTATCATACATTCTCCATCTCTCTCTGGCGTCCCATAGTTTGTTTTGATTCTCCCGGCCCATCAATCTCTGAAAGCTAAACTTCGTGAAAAGAGGAGGTGGTTGGATTCGATAATGGTATTTTGTCTAGTGGAGTTTGGACAGTTCCCACACATATTACCACACACACACATACAGTCATAAACACACACACACACACACACACATGCACAGGCTTAACATAAACTTTCTCAGGGAATAATTTAAGGACGTTGTCGAACAATCATTGGGCTCAGATTGAAATCCCTCTCAAAGAGCAAGGACCAGGAAACTAGAGTGTTTATTTTGGAAATGGTTCCAGAGCTCCCGCTTTATCATAAACAATAATACTCAGAAATGGTCCTTTTTCCTTTCCCTCGCGGTGCCAGGATCCGCATTCCTCTCCTAAAATTGCACCTCCAAATGTTTCTCAGAAATACCTAGAATAGCCCGATATTATTGTTTTTTCTTACAATGTACTTTTAGTTTGAGAATCCTAACCAAAGACTCTTTTCGAGGACTGTCGGTGGGAACACATCTCTTTATTGACCTCTGTTGTTGTACCCATCTAGATTTTGGCTCAGTTTTAAGAGCTGTTCTCAAGTCCAAGTCAACAGAACCAAGTCCCTGTCAAGTTAATTGAAACAGTTACAATCTAGGTTCAAGTCCTGTCTCAAACTCAAGTCAATCCAGACTAGTTCAATTCAAGTCTGAAGTCAAATCAGACAAATCCAAGTCTAGTCCAAAGTCAAATGAAACAAGTCCTGGTCAAGAATGTGTCTTGTGAAGTTTAAAGCCTACAAGTGTACTCAAGAGTGTCCCTTTCAAGTCATGTTTGGAGACTAGTCAAGTGTCAAATCAAACAAAACAAGTCCATTTCAAGTTCAAAACGTGTTAAATTTCACGTAGATTGATACAAGTCAATATCAAGTAAGAGTCCTACGTAAGAGCCACAGACTTTATGGAGCCATGACAAAGGCTTTGGAAACCTTTTTTTTTACACAGATAAGTAAAACTTCACCTACCAGATACAGAAGTGCATCCTTTTCATTGTGGATGCTTATCTGAATTTGTCCAAAGTCAAATGAAACAAGTCCCGGTAAAGAATGTGTCTTGTGAAGTTTAAAGCCTACAAGTGTACTCAAGAGTGTCCCTGTCTAGTCATGTTTGGAGACTAGTCAAGTGTCAAATCAAACAAAACAAGTCGATTTCAAGTTCAAAACGTGTTAAATTTCACGTAGATTGGAACAAGTCAATATCAAGTAAGAGTCCTACGTAAATTGAGGAAAGTCTGGTTTGACCTTAGTTGTGTGTCAAATCAATTAAGACAAGACTGAATCATTGTCAAATCTTCTTAAATCTCAAGATAAACAAGACAAGTCGGAGTCAAGTTCAAATGTTGTCAAATATTAACTCATGTCCAAGTCAAGACGCAAGTATGTCAAGTCGAGTTCAAGTAAATTACGAGCCGTTTTAAGTCAGTCAACACAAGACTAAATCAAGTTTGAGTTTCAGTAAATCTCAACTGCTTATTTGTCCAAGTCAAGTGTCAAGTCAGTGAACGTCAACTTTGAGTGATGTCAAGTAGGGCTGTGCAATTAATCGTATTTTAATCTCGATTACGATTTTGGCTTGCAACGATTACGAAAACAATGTAATCGAATAAAACGATTATTATTTTTATAAAAAAAAAAAAAAAAAAAAAAATTATTATTGGTTTTTCAGTTGAATTATACTTAAAGTTCAGGGTAATCAACTGTTAAAAACATACTGTTCAAATTTTCTTTTCAATATATGGATGTTTTCAAAGTAAATGGATAATCGTTTTTAATAATCGTGATATCAATTATTGACCAAAATAATCGTGATTATGATTTTTGCCATAATCGCACAGCCCTAATGTCAAGTCAACTGCTGTCATTTAGCTTTGTACGTTAATTCTCTCCAGCAGCAGTTTTCCCAACTGGTAATAATCCTAAACGCATAATGGATCATTCAGACACAGAAAAAGGCACATGTATACCTGACTATCTTTGTTTAAAGCTCGCAGGGCTTTGCAGGGGGTTGAGTTGAATCTGGCTCTCATATGGTATCGGAAGTGTGTGTAAAGGGAATTAGTGAATATCATGGGATACGCAGGAATGTCTGGCTTTCGGATCAAACTGGAGAACTTACTGTACATGTTGGATGAGTTTTTAATGGCACCCCAACAGAAGTCCAAACAAATGTTGAAGACGCTGTTTCCACAGGATTTGGGTTGGCAACAAAACCCCTGCTGTGTAGCTCTAGGTTTCCTGTGAGACAAGTTCTACTGTGGTTGCAAATAAGGATGTCTTCTTAGCCTTCTTTCCTGGATAAGTCATTGCATTTAACCCCAAAGAAATGTATGTTTATTCAGTAGTGGTTGGACAAGAGGAAGTTGCAGAATGGAAAAAGTGGCGTAGTGTATTAAAAGGAAATAAGAGTGGGTGTCATGGGAAAAAGATGACAACCTCCATTTATATATTGGACATTTTTATACACAGCAGCTTAATGTATGCTTGGTTCAAATCTAAAGGTTACTTATGTTAATATACATCAGTCAATAGTTATCAGTGCCAGCAGACCGTCAATCTCCAATGGCGGTTATAATGACCTCCAAACCAAATGTCTGGTCGTTAATGCAAAAGATTGATCAAAGAATCTCTAGATAAGATAAGATGGAACTTTATTTATCGTATATGTAGGCGTTTATAGCAGTGACAGGGTCAGAGTGAAAATCAGGATTCACACAAGGTAGAAAATAAAGATAAAATAGAATACGAATTAAAATAATAATAATACAACATTTAAGAATAAAGTGATAAAGTAACTGTTGAAACAAGATATCACAGTTAAAAGTTGAGCATTTGAATGACATATGTTGTCAGAAACCCATTTGGACTCATAAAACAACTACAATTACGAAAACAAACATCCAGAAGTAATGTGTGTGTCTCTAATATACTGTCTAGCACGTTTATAGCAATGACAAACAACATATCAGCAGGAGCGGACTGGGACTAAAAATCAGCCCGGGACTCTCGACCGGCCCACCTCGGTACCGCAAGTAAATACCGCTAGTAAATTGTCAACGGGGGTGCTGGTGACTTACCCGACCGGCCCACTTCAGTACCGGCCCATCGGGATTCGTCCAGAACGTCCCGATGGCCAGTCCGCCACTGCATATCAGTAATAAAACTAATTTACAGCTTCCGAAATGACTATACAATTGAGTTATTTTATCTCTTAAAGTGGACCTATCATGCTATATTTGAATAATATATTGTAGGGCCATACCTATATACGGTATATTTATACGTTTTCTTTTTCAAAATACCAAACAGATCATGCATTTTAGCCATGCCTCATTTTGCTCTATTTTGCTCTCCTCCAGCCCTGTTTTTGCATGCGCTGCAGCTGACCACGCCCCCCTGCAAAGGAGGGGGCCGAGTTACGAATGTTACCATGCTGTTACCATGCCACGACAACCTCTCATTCCCCTGATAGGTGGAGAGTTGGCCATATAGGCGGAGCTCCTCCGTCCTGACGTCAGAGAAATGTTCAAATCTGGATCAGTTTTTATCAGATCCGTTGCAGCCCCTTTTTTAGAGATTTGGGTATGGAGGAAAATAGAGAGGGTTGTGTTTTCTGACACTTGGTGAGTTCCCTGGAACACCGGGGACACATTCATGTATAAAAGACGTACAAAAGTGCATTTTGCATGATAGGTCCCCTTTAAATATACAATAATAAACCTCATGAAGGCAGGAGTTATTGCAGGGCTGCTGTATTAGTTTAAGCAAAGTTCACCTAATACATTCGTAACTCTTGTGATCATTTTTGTGTCATTATTGATGCTTAACGGGCACATTTTTCCATTCTGTAACTTCCTCTCGTTCGTTTCACCACTACTGAATAAACCTCAAGTTATTTTGGCTAAATGCAATGACGAGAGATAAAGAGCACTTCCTGTACGTAACAATGGTTTGTCGTCGCCATCGTTCCTCACCTGATTTTCTCCCTCTCTTCTTCATCCTTTAGGCGCAGCGTTCCCGTTATCCGGCCGCCTTCCTGGCACCTGACGAAGCTTTCGGAGTTACCCCTCCCTCCCCCTCCTCCTCCTCCATCACCTCCTCCTCCTCCACCCTGCCTTCCCCCCACAGACTCCCCTCCTCTCCCCCCTCCTCCCCCTCTGTCTGCCATGCAGCTCCACCCCGGCCCCTTCACACTACCCTGGCACTCCACCGACAACAGGTGAGCAGTCAATTCAAATTCAAAGGTTTTATTGTCATGTGCACAAAGCTACGGTGTAGACCTGAGCTCCTCCAACAATGCAACATATATAAGGAAATACAAAATCGTTTGTTGATCAAGGCTTAATGTGATGAAGGGTTACATCATGTTGTGAATAATTACTTTAAACTCAATTAGAGTGGAATGCTCTTAACATCCCGATAGCAACGAATAAATGAAATGTTTTGACAATAAATACATACAAATATATCATCTGTGGAAGCCGTAGTACTGTAAAAAGCACGACCAATCATCTGAGCCGGCCCGGCTAAAATAACTGGATGGCCTACCTGCCTGTCAGCCTTCCATCTGTGCACAAACTTATCTCGTGCCCTCATTGGTCATGTGCGCGTTCGTGTGCGTTGGAGGAGGGGCTCTGTGAGGAAGTGGCTGATTCTTTTCGGCTGTGTATTTTCAAATTCTAGCGCACTCGAGCTGGTTTCTCCATTCTTACCTACCCCACCTTTAATGATTAGAAGTTAGAGTACGAATGTGCAATGAAAAAAAGATGTATATACAAAAAATAACACTAAATAAATAAAAATAAGAAATAGTAGTAACTGCATAAAAAGTTGTACAACAGTAAGTAAAAGTATATACATAGAAACAACTCAAACTTGCCTGATGTGCAGATTTAAGCACACAGTGAGTCATTCTGTGTGTTTAAGTCAAACACAGTGAGCGGATGACTCCATCGGTCGTCGGCTGAAAGTCACTGGCTGGGGGGTTTTTGGTAACCAGGAAGCAGGTGACATCACCGTGTTTAAAATCAACACTTCTGCCCACGCAGGAAGCCCATTGGTCTATTTTTGGCTTCTATTTAAACATTCCGAAGTGATAACCAATCAGATCTGTTCTTTGTCCGTCTGTCTCTGGTGGGTGACGTTGGTTTTGACATTCCCTTTATTTGACGAGGTTAAATCAAATGGTCTTATTTCATCTTAGAATATGATTTCTTTTTTTACCAGGTGATGGTCGTTGTGTAGGCTTTTTAATCCCATGTAAGGATGATGAATTGACGTCTTAAAATGTCTTAAATAATCACATCTTAAAAGCCTGAAGTCCAATAAAAGACTGGAGGGATTAATCCATTTTTAAGTTGGTTACACACCTTGATAGGACATGGATATTTTTATATAATTGCGTAACCATTAGGACAATAGGCTGAATTGTCCATTCAGTCGTCTTTGTATTACAGCATGATCTCACAAAGCTGAAGTGTAACCCTTTAAAGGAAAGAGGAAGTTACCGCAGTCTGTATATTGACTCACAATAAAAATAGTCTTTGTTAGTCAGCTTCACGGTGGATGACGTCAGCTTCTTGTATTCATTTTGATAGGAATCAGTGATATAATGCACCCCGATTAGATTGAATGGTCCCATGAGGATTAGATAGCAGTGTGTGTTTGTGTTTTTGTGTGTGTGTGGGTCTTTTATTCCCACAGTTTGTCTTTGCACACATACACACACACACACACACACACACACACACACACACACACACACACACACACATACACAGAAGCATCTGATGAGGAGGCAGCTCCCGGCATAACTCTGGACAATGGCATGTGACTCCCAGAACATGTGGACAAAGAGAGGAAGACATTCAATAAACTGTGTGAAGCAGAGGGACATTTTGTACAGGCTGTTTTTATGGAAGTACTTAAACAAAATATGCAAGTGTTTGAGGAAAGAATACACCAGTTTCTGAGCTAAACTGCTTATACTTTGAGCTATTGAGCTGGGTTTTCTGAACACACATGTTTCATCGTGTACAGTAGTTGTGTTTGAGCGTTTTCTGTGTCAGCCCTCACACTCACATGTTCCACATTTGACGTTTGATTGGGCGGGAGTGACTGTCATTTCCTGTCCAGCTCCCGTCTCATTTCCTCTGTTCCTCTTTCTGTCACCCAGGTCAAATCTATACAACAGCCCATCCTTTTTCATTCATTGCTCACTTCCTTTAAAGACAGTTTTCTCATGCAGATAATGACACCGTTTCCCACTAGTATCAATATGCAACTGCTGTGTTTTACCTTTCAAGGCAGCCATTGTTTTCCATTTAAAGCAGTTCTTGAAACTATAGCTGAGACACTTGCTGTGCATTGAATATGCCTAACAGACTTGTCAGATTATCAAAACCAATTGCTCTGCGGGGAAAATGTGACTTTTGCTATCCTCTTTACAATAACATGTTCAGAAATAATAGACTTGAAGTTCATGGAGATGGATTAAACAAGTTTCAAGAGCAAAAGGTTGCCAAACAAAGCCCATTCTTTTCTAAAACATCGAAGAATTCCTTGCAAAATTGATGTAATATAAAAACAATATTTGTAATAAATGGGCTTAAGCATCCAAAACCACTTTCATAGATTTTATTTACATAGTGCAATAATGATGAGTGCATAAAAAGACAAATTACCTCCACAAATTCTGCAGACCACTAAAAAATATCTGAGCCCATAATGATATTTTTATAAGATTACCTTGTGGTAAAACACTTTTTAAGATCAGTTTTCAGATCTTTCAATGGATCGTAAACCATAAATACCACAGAAACAGCCCAAGGATATTCAACTTTCTCCTTACTGGTTTCACATCAAAGCCCTTTGAGAAATGTCTTTCTTCTCCAACCTCTCCTCTGTCTCCTTGGCAACGTTCCCTATTGTTTGAATAAGACAGCAAAGAAATACAAAGGGAGAGTTACCACTCGCTCTTTTTTTTATAGGGAAAAATACCACAATAAAATGAAAATGACATTTTTGTTGGATTCTCAAAGGGAATTGGATTTCAACCAGTGGGTGCCCCTACCTTCTGGATTTACTATCCATACTCCCATTCCCTTAGCTCTACTTACGCTGGAAAGAACTCCCTTTCATTTAGTCTTATGTGGTTTTCTTAACCCTTAGATGCCCGAGTGACTGGACCCTACACTCTTCCTCTAAAAGGACCCGTATTAGAATAATATGTGTTTTTATGTCATTTTGGTTAAGAAAAATGTCTTGTATAACATTTAGTATTATATTTTGGTTCACACTAGAAATATTTTATATTTAATTTTTCACCATTTATAATTTTAGACATTTCTTTTACATTTTGAAAAAAAACATTTTCCCATAGGATTCCATAGAAAATGCATGCGGGTCAGTTTTGACCCACTTATGGAAGCTTGGGGTACTAATACAAAAACTACAATTTCTTAAAATGTAAATTAAAAATGTGAATGGCATGATATCCAAAACATGTTTTTTGAGGAATTGCTGGAATATGAAATGATAGAAAAATTTAATTACAAAGATACTTCAAGAAAACCACCTCACCGGGTCCAAAAAGACCCTCTTATGCATCTAAGGGTTAAGAAGTTGATATTGTTGGGAAAACCATTCTTTCTGTGTTCTTTTTACTCAATTTGTTTGTCTTTTTTTCTGGCATTTCTAACCCTAACCCTTATACAGTGAGAATGAGAGGGGAACAGAGGAGAGGGTTATTTGAACAACAATCACTGTGATTGCATACTAAGCAGTTGTTGAGGAGAAATATCTTCCCTTGCTTTTTCTTGAGGTTTGAAGGTTTTTGCGAGATTTCTTTCCATATCTGAAAAAGGATAGCAGGTGCCATATGTTGGAAAAAGTATGTTGGAAAAAAGCGTCATTTTGGATTGCATTCATATTTGATGTTAAGGAGATGGGACAGCAAGAATCCACATGAAGAAGAAAGGAATGAATAGAGGAAGAGAGGAATCAAGGGGATAGCTTTGAGATTTTGACTTCAGGCATTTGGAATTGATGAGGAGGAAATCCCTCACCGCCTTTAGAAGCTTCCCCTGAGGGTCTTTGAAAACACATGGGGCTGCCGTGGATCTTCGGCTCACGACTGATAGAAAACAGATTCCCCAGCTGTACAGTTCAAAAGTTATGTTCCAGAACGACACACTTTATACGTCTCGAGGGGGATACCGCAACTTGTCACTTGAAAAATAAAAGATGACTTATTTGATGTAGTTTCTCAATAGTTTTTTTTACCACTGTTGTAGGAATGGTTCCGATTTTTCACTATAAAATGTCAAAAGTCAATGACAAGTGCCAATTGGAAGTTTCCAGAGACCAAAGTGACGTCACAAGGCGATCTTTTACTTTCTGACTACGCAAAGTGTTCCCAATAGGGGCGTTCACACCAAGTTCTTTTCCCACATCAGAACTAAAAGAGTTCTCATGAACTAAAGCAGATCGCGTTCACACCGCAATTAGTTCCTGGGGGTGGATTAGGCAAATGAAGCCGCTGACGTCATTTCTTCTTCTTCTACTTTGGGTTTACTGGCAGGCCGCAAACAACTTCACGGCGTATACTGCCACCCGAAGTCCCCGGCCGGAAGTCCCCGGAGTTGGGGAAGGCTTCAGTAGAAGCTGCTGGGACTCCCAGCAGCTTCTACTGAAGCCTTCAGAGTAAATCGCCAGAACACCGACACCTCCTCATCTCCACCGCTCCCATGTTTTCTTTTGTGTTGCCATAAGTTAGTCTCTCTACGTTGGTGCGCTGGGCTAATGCTAATGCTAATAATGCTAATGCGAGGATAATAAAATGGCGGCTTCACAAAACTTTTTGGGAGTTTTACGGGGCGTGGTTTGCAATCCGCCCAGCCCATCAGAAATGGGAACCTTTTTCTCCCACGAAAGTACCTGCTCTCTAGCAGGGACTACAAAGGGGGTAAAAATGGTTCTGATTAACTAATTTAGTTCAGGGGGCTTTTTGGTGTGAATGCAAATATATCTGAGTTCTGATGAACTATTGTGGGAAAAGTACTCCGGTGTGAACGCGCCAAATGGCTTACATTGCGTCATCAGAAGGTGTACGCAAAGGGTTGCATGATGTCTGCAGTTGTTCGGGAATATATTCAAGCATTTAAACGACAATTAAGTTGATGTTCTTTGTCTTCTTTGTCTTTGCAGTGACTTACAGTGGGGTCAGCTGTCCAGACCTTACTCCTCCACGGACCGAAGCAGTTCCCTGGGCTCCATGGAAAGCTTGGACACACCAACACCCACACCGCAGACATACTCTGACTCCCATATTTCCCCCGTCGACCCCACCCTCTTCAACAACAAAAGAGACTCTGCCTACAGCTCATTCTCCGCCAGCTCAAACACATCTGACTACGCAACGGTGCCACTAAGGCCCGGTGAAGCCTGCTCCATGGATAACCTCCTGCAGGGGCTGGGGCCATCTTGTCAAGGCTACACTGTCGGTGATACCTCGACCCTGGGGAGTTCATCTAGCGAGGCCCCGGATGACTTGCAGCTTATTGTTCTCAAGTCCAGGTCGCTCACCAGGCCGAGATCTAAAAACGTTGAGATAAAAGAGAGGCCTTCCTCCTACTGTTATGAGGAGGAGCGGAGGGGAGGAGACTTTGAGATCATAAGAAATGGAGAAAGAGCAGCTGAGAGAAAGATGAACCCTCCTCAGCCTCCGACCAGGAAGGACAGTTTTAGGGCAACTCGGAGTCGCCCGAACGCCGCCAACAAACGTTGCGTCTCTGCTCCCATTGACCTTTCCAGCGTTCCCTTTTACCAGGAAGTCAAGTCCTCTCTGAATGTTGAATCAGGAATTCAAAACGGCTTCCCTGCACCAGAGGAATGTGGTGAGAATTGTAAAGAGGATACCCTGAACTCGCACTATATCCAAAGACAGACTGAAGACATTCGACATATCCGATGTGATATCAGTGCTAATAAAGACTACAATACAGAAACCACCTCAGAGACGTCCTCCCTAGTCCCCATGACTTCTCCTTGTCCTGCCTCCTTACCTGCCGAATCCTCCATGGATGTTCAAGAGCGATCTCGTATCACGCACTCAGAGATCAAGCACTCCCCGACGGGGCTTCACCGGCACAGCGCCCCCGCTAAACTCCTCGCTACACAGCTCCAGTTATTGGACTGTGAAAGTGACGGATCTTCATTGGAGCCTCGCAATCCGTCGGATACTTCTGATCCCTCCTTGTCCTCGTCTAGCAGCCAGTGGTCCTATTCATCGCTCCAGCCCACGAGGGAAGACCAAGAAACTTCTCACAACCACCCCAACGGACCGTCAAATAAATGGGGAGGTAGCCGTTGCTCAACCCCGGGATCTGTGTTCTTGGAAGATGACGAGGAGAGGCGAAATGGAACCACAGTTGAGCATCACCACCCTTGGGGCCGATCAGCGAGTGTCCCTGAGGACCCAACTGGATCGTCAATCAAGGGACAGTTGAGCTCAGACCAGATACTTGAGAGAGATTTCCAGCCTCTTAGTGCTGCTGCTAGTATGGATACTTTACTGGAAGAGCAGAGAGCAGTGGATAGAGGTAACATTGAGGAGAGTGTAGTAGGAGAGGACATGAAGAGGTCCCCGGCGTCTAGGAACCATCGCAGGAACCGCCGTCGCAACGAGCGATTTGCGACCAACCTCCGTAACGAGATCCAGAGGAAAAAGGCCCAGCTTCAGAAGAGCCGGGGCCCAGGAGGGTTGCTCTGTAGTGGGGAAACTGTGAAGGAGGAGGAAGGTCCAGACCTCAATGAGGAAGGGGACGACCAAGACCTGCCTGTCCAGGAAAGGATTACCAAAGTTGCATTCGCCCGACCTGTTAGTCCCCAAATAGATGCCATCACCACAGCACCGGTCGAGAAAGCAAGTGATGTTTTGCAGACTCAGTCCACAAGCTACACTCAAGACAACAACCTATCCAGGTCCGTACAGATTCTGGACCCAGGAGTGCCACATTTTGGTGTTGGCGTCCGAGTGGTGGAGGAACCGGCTCCTGCTGGTAAAGCCCGTCGCTGGCGTTGGACACCAGAGCACAAACTCCAACCAGAACCCGAATCAGAACGACGGTGTAGAATCTTGGATAAGGATCCGTTGGGACTCACAGGATCACGGCATGGGGTTTGTGCCTTCTCATCTTCATCCTCATCCTCATCTTCATACACTCGGTCCTCTTCTCGGAAGGACGTGTCCGAAATCCTTCCGTTTGCCGATAGAATGAAGTTTTTCGAGGAGACGAGCAAGAGCATATCCGGGCTTAATATGTCGAGTCGGAGGCAGAAAAAACCCCTCCAACAATCGGAGCACCAGGGAGGGGAGATTGGTCAACACCCAACCCAGAGAAGATACTCCTACCAGGGGGGACTTCTGCAGGAAAGCGACCTCCTCTCAAACTCTATGGAGGCCAGGAGGCTTTCTATGAGTACCAGCAGGGAGAGGCAGAAGGAGAAGGAGAGAGAACAAGCGAGGGAAAGGGAGGAGAGGGCAAGGGAACGAGATAGAGAAGACAGGCTGAGAGAAAGGGAGAGGGAAAGAAAAGAGAGGGATTTGGAAATGGAGAGGGCAAGGCTGAGGGAGATTCAGCGGGAGAGGGAACGAGAGGAGAGGGTGAGACAGTGGGGAAGGGAACGAGAGAGAGAGCTGGAGAGGGAGAAGGACATAGAGAGGGCCAGAGAGCAGGAACGTCTCACAAAAGAAAGAGAGGAAGTGCTGAAGAGGGAGAAGGAAAGGGAAGATGCTCAGCTCAGCTCACATCAGGAGTTGTATGGCGTCAAAGACAGAAATCAAGACTTCCAACACATCTTCCAGCCTAAGCCTCAGACGTTCTCCCATAGCCAAACCCAGAATCATGTCCCTCGATCGGCTTTCCATCCCGTCAACACCCCATCCCAGCCAATGGAGAGCCAGCAACCGCTTCAGCAGGGATACACAGCGAGGAGCTACACACCCACAGAGGTAAGAGTGCTGCGCTCATTCAAACATGCATCAATACATTCGCAAATCCTGTTTCCCCCCCCCCCCATTGATCAAAGACACGTGCCGGTTTTTTTACGGGTCATGAAGGAGTCAGGGGTCGCCGGGGTTAGCTCTCTGTAGAGTTTGCTTTCCTGGGATCTGGATTATAAACTTGTCTCTGTCAGGTTTATGGACAAACAGAGACAGAGAGTGACATGTGGCCTGAAGGAGTAGATGATAGAGATCTGGAGTGAGTTGAAGTTTTGGTCAGTTGCCATTTGGTCTTGAAATACATTCACTCAGAGGTGAGATACATATCACTTTATGATTTATTGAAGTGGCACAAGTTTGTTTTTCTACATAAATTAGACTGTCCTGCTTGATCTTTTGTGTATAGGGGTTGGTACGCTGTTGCCGGGCAGGATTCACTTAATTGTTAAATTGTTGGAACAAAGGGTGGCCTGCAACCAAACCATTATTGTCAACACATCTGATAAACAAATATCTATAGTCACTTTTGCACAACCTTGAGACCTGAAAACCTAATTTTTAAGGCATCAATCTTGTTGGGACATAAACACGTTGTAATTGCAGCCATTAACAAGTATGTTTACAAGGCAAACAGATCGCCAGCAGCAGGCCGAGCTGAATAACAGCCTGTGACCCAGCAGCACTGAAACCAAGTAACGCCTCCCAGAGAGAAAGATAAACTGTACAGCTTGCTGAAATCAGACTGTGGTTTGGGTCTGAGCTTAAATGACCACTGGAGACTGAAAAGTATCTTTAAAACCAGAAAGGGTATTGAGTGGTCACACTTGGATGGTGGGGTAGCAACTCGCTCCAAGTTCTCCGTGGTTGAACGGTTGGTTTGTAGTCGATCCTCGCATCCTGCATGCGGTCAGAGTCTGAAACTCTCATTGAAAATTCAAATAGCTCCTGGAGCTGAGAGAGATTGGGCAACAGCGGCGAACACTTGTGTCAGCGATAATAGCAGCGTTGGGTTACTTTGTCCACCACATATTTATTCGAGTGTCTTGGCGGGGGGTGCAGCCCTCGGTCTAAACGTTTGACTCTTCTGTGAACTTCAGCCCATTAGTAACCTTATCATGTGACCCCGAGCAAAGCTAAACTGACATTAGCCTTGGCCTCGATGTATCCAGCAGATATGTTGTGTTGTTTCCCTGTGTTTTTAGAGACCTCAGGGGAGTCTTTAACCCCCCCCTTCTCCCCCCCCCCCCATGTTGGGATCCTTTTCAAATGAAAGGTTGTTGCTTTGATGGCACACAGATAACCCCATGCGTTGAATTCCTGTTTCATATCTGCAGCTGACAACGTCCAATATTTATAACGCTAACAGATGTTCTAGATCAGGGGTGTCAAACTCAAGGCCCGGGGGCCAAATCCGGCCCGCGACTTCATTTAATGCGGCCCCACAAGAGCTCTGAAAGAATATAATATGTTTATTATACGGTTACATGCCGATTTACAGAAGCACGTTGCCCATAAACTACATATCCCACAATGCATCTCAAATTTGACTTTTTTTCTCAGAATTTGACTTTTTTTCTCATAATTTGACTTTTATTTTTATAATCATTTTGTGACATTTTGTAGACTTCTGCTTTCAGACGTAGTTAATGATGAAGTTATTACCCTATCCGATAATAATCCAATGCAGAGGCAATAATGTAATATAATACATTATTTTATATATATTAAATATTTATATATGTATTTTTATATATAGTCTTAAAGTTACAACCGGCCCTTTGAGTGCAACCATAATGCTAATGTGGCCCGTGATGAAATTGAGTTTGACACCCCTGTTCTAGATGGACGAAAGGGTTGTGATAAGACAGACACACACATCGAAATACACTCGTGCAAAATGAAACACGTACATATCAAGACGTACATGTCATCTCTCACGATACAATCCAAACACACAGTTCCCAATTTTGAGTAAAATTCAGTTCATTCATGTTTGTTTTGGGAAGGAAACACCATGTTAGAATATATAGAAATGTAACTGGCTGCTTACATTATTATTCTTTGTGGTCTGTCACTCAATGGGCTCTTGTTTTATGACATATTAGGAAATGCTTACATTTTTATTGGCAAAATGTGACTATTAGATTTATTTATTTTTTCATTACACATCATTTTCTTAAAGGAAAGTATGGAAAACATTGTATACCCAATGCTCATATTCAAAATGAAACACACAATTAAAAATCATATATTAAATGTTCAATGTATGTTTTCTTAGTTATGCAATTGTTTTAAAGTTAAGCCAAAAATAAATCAAAACTATGCCGTATTAGGTTTTTTTATTCCATATATTCACTAATGGAAGCCAAAGGAAACTATACATTACAATATGCTCTTTTGAATCCCAAGAGACAATGGATTTAAATGCGGTCTAAACTTTATTATCACAAACTTATCAGTTGTTACCATTTTATGGATTTTATGCTCTGTTGACAGAAAGTGACGGCCAAATATGTTAAATTCACATCGCACCAGTCCAACAAAAACACCATCTGAATGTTCAGATATACAATGCTGACAGTCAAAAAAAGTGTGTGTGTGTGTGTGTGTGTGTGTGTGTGTGTGTGTGTGTGTGTGTGTGTGTGTGTGTGTGTGTGTGTGTGTGTGTGTGTGTGTGTGTGTGTGTGTGTGTGTGTGTGTGTGTGTGTGTGTGTGTGTGTGTGTGTGTGTGTGTGTGTGTGTGTGTGTGTGTGTGTGTGTGTGTGTGTGTGTGTGTGTGTGTGTGTGTGTGTGTGTGTGTGTGTGTGTGTGCAGCTATCAGTATCTCTGACCAGTGACGAGGGTGCAAAGAGTTCGTTCAGCATTCCTCTGCTGGGCATTAGAGCTGCTGAATGCTTTGTGCAGACGTTTCCTGTATGTGGACATAATGAGCTTTGTTTCTTAAATCAACAAGAGACATTCCCTAACCTACTTAAAACCTGCTGTTTAATTATTAATCTACCCATTAAAGTGGATTTAGTGGTAACTTTTAGCAATTAAAAAGGGAAGCTTTGTGTGAAAAGTAGTAATGTAACTGTAGAACATTTCAACAGGTTTACAAAATTGAGTGCGAAACTTAATTGTTTACTCTAGTTTGACAAACTAATCTTCAAACTGAGCAAACTATCTGCAGATGAAGACCTTGAGAAAGTTTGAACTGGATTCAGTTAATTCAAGTTACAAAGTGCTTAAAAAAACCATTCAATTGCATTGCCCACAATTTGATAAATATACTTTAAAAAGTCTTTCAACTCAACTTCAACAAAATTAAACGTGAGACTGCATCAACAGCACGGAAATAATTAAAAAGCTGACAGAAAATAAACAGACAACCAATTTATAATTTATTCATTTTCGTTTTTTTGTGCGAAAAAGTTAACTTGAATATGATAGTAATATAAATATATTTAAGTTTTGGACCAATCGTGAGACAAACCATGCAATTTAAAGACATGCACTCATAGTAATCTGTATTGACATTGTATAACTTACTGCTTATCAAGAACATAAGTGGTAGATTAATTGATAGTGGAAATGAGATTAAGAATTCAAAACAAAAAAGATTTCTAAAATGTTAAAATACCTCCACCTTAATGAACCTCATCACCATTAAAGTATACGGACGAGTGGAGCAGCACTTCCTCTCAGCCGGGACGTGTGCTGACCAACACTTTGCACCAGATTGATTCCTTCCTTCATTCCTACCGTGTTATTAACCGGCTTTTTAATGTCTTCCCCAGATGTATCCCGCCCGGCAACAGGAAGCGGCCAAGCTGAACAGGAAGTCCAGCCTGACTGAGAGGTGAGCCACTTCCTTTCTCTGCCTCACATACACACACACACACACACACACACACACACACACACACACACACACACACACACACACACACACACACACACACACACACACACATATAAACAAGATCTTCTGAGTATTTTATATATTACTTTTCGACACACACTTCATCTCTGGTTGTCTGTGAGTGAGGTGGGGTCGCTCCATTGTGCATTGTGACGGAGGAAACCCCACTCAGTCATGCCTGGCTGGGATTTGACTATAATGAGCTCTAAGTGTGCAGAGCAATCATCCATGCTTCAAAATGTGCCCATAATGATATGTGGTTGGATGGTGATTCCTGGTAGAGAGAGGGGGGATTTAGGACATGCATGGCCTGTAAAGAGAGACCTCTACTCATATCTGACCCGAGAGAAACAGAAGGAATGCAAAGAGGAAACATTTACTGTAATTTAACGACTGTTTTTGTTTCGTAACGTGGAAATGTTGCTTCAATTACTGCATTAAGGTCGTAAGAGAGCGGGTGTAAAGGTCTAAGATGACAACAAGTGTAAAGGACAAACCCAAAATATATACAATGACAAATCATACACGGTCCCATTAAAACATATACAGGGTGTCCGCGGGGTCTTAAAAAGTATTAAAAGTTGATAAATCAATTTAGTGAAAATGAAGGCTATTAAAAAGTATTAAAGGGCATTTTCCAAGGTATTACATGTTGTAGCTTGTTTTCAATAAGTCTATAACTTGTCCAAAGAGGTTGTATTCTACAGTCTGCCTGAATGTAATCATTGCGTAGGTGTGTAGTGTGATTCTGTGTAGTTTATTTATGGCATCCCGTTGGGTTTGATGTCATCTGAACAGGACATCGCACGCTCACTGCTTGATAGTGCGCGAAGGTCCGTTTACGCCGGTTGTTAAACAACATCGTTATGGGGAAATGCAAGTTTGCGTCCAAATGGTTGGAAGATAAGGAGGAAGGACAATCAATACTGTATATAGTCAATGTGAGGTCAAGTGTGTCGCCAAGGTAACCGGTTAAAACTCAAAGTGGCTATGAGGTCTTAAAATGTATGGAAAGGGTCTTAAAAAAGGTCTTAAAAGGTCTTACATTTGACTTCAGGATTCCTGCATATACCCTGATATATACAATTCCATAACAGTATGACAGTATGTTGCCAAGAAAACGTTACTGTAAAACCTCACCTACACAGTCCCAATAAAAAACTGAGTTTAAAAAAGTGTTAAATAATCACTGAAGTGTAAAAACCTGGCTGTTTTTTCCACTTACACCACTTTACCATACATACAAACTATAATCTAAGCCCACACATAGGCGCTTCTTTATCTGTATGTTAAGTTATGCCCTCACTCTTCCACATACATTAGTGAGTGGTTTTAACCTCCTTGTGTCATTAAGGCAACACGTTACCCTTTAACTATTCATCTCTAAAAACTTTAATTATAGTTAAAGGGGACCTATCATGCAAAATGCACTTTTGTACGTCTTTTATACATGAATATGTGTCCCCGGTGTTCCAGGGAACTCACCAGGTGTCAGAAAACACAACCCTCTCTATTTTCCTCCATACCCAAATCTCTAAAAAAGGGGCTGCAACGGATCTGATAAAAACTGATCCAGATTTGAACACTGTCCTGACGTCAGGACGGTGGCGCTACGGCTATTGGGCCAACTCCACCAATCAGGAGGAGACAGCCACGGCCATTGCCGTTCTAAAGCTCTGGAGACGCTGTAGTACATATGCCAGGCCTGTAGGTGGTGCTGTTCTCACTGAATCTGCCCTTGCTAAAACAGAGATAAAAAATGTCAAATTGAGCAAAATGAGGCATGGCTAAAATGCATGATCTGTTTGGTATTTTGAAAAAGAAAAAGTATAAATATGCCTTATATAGGTATGGTCCTACACTATATTATTCAAATATAGCATGATAGGTCCACTTTAAAGTAAGAAAAATAGCATCTTGAGTTATTCAGAGTCTAACACTCAAGATGTACAACTGTGGTTTGTGGTATCTCCCCTTGGTAGGGTCACAATGTTATTTTATTTGCCTACTTCACTCTGTATTTGTTTGTTGACATCAAAGTATGATTTGTAATGCTCAGGGTTCTTACGGTCATTAAAAACCTGGAAAAGTCATGGAAATTAAAGTTATGGAAAACAATATTTTTCCCAAAGTTTTGGAAAAGTCATGGAAATGTAACTAAAGTTGCATCAAATATAATTTATATTTTATCTAATCGCCGCAAAAAGTAATACTATAACGATAATAAATACTGTATCGTATAGTAATGAAACGTAAAATGGCATTTAACTGACGAGGTGTTTTGCTGGCGAGAGATTTGAGTTGCGTTAGCGTGTAGAAGCTAGTAAGCCGACTATTTGATTTGTTTTAATAGGCACGACATGTTTCATATGCAGACCTTATTTTCCTGTTCCATGTTAAAATAAACCATTTTCAGTGGTACCGCTGAGAAAGAGTCATTTTTTTGGTCATGGAAAATTAGGTAAAGGTCATGGAGAAGTCATGGAAAAGTCATTGAAAATCATTGGTGAAAAAGTGTATGAACTCTGACTTCTCTCTCCAATATCTCCCTATCCCAGGGACTACTCCAGCTCCAGACCTCCAGAGATCAACAGCCAGCTCCATCAGGGTCAGAGGAGCCACAGACCGTCTGATGGAGAAGATCGTAACGGATTCTCCTTCCCTCCTCCGTCGGCTCCTCTCTCTCTCCGAGGCCGAGCCATGTCCGAAAACGACCTCCGCTTCGACAGCAACAACCAACGCTGGTCGCCCTCCATTTCTGTCTCCACCAGCCAGACGCTGAGCGAGGTGGAAGAGGGAGGAGGAGGAGGAGGAGGAGGAGGAGGAGGAGGAGGAGTAGTCATGGGAGGAGAAACTGCTAACACTTCACGGATGAACAGGAAGAAAACCCCGCCTCCACCGAGACCTCCACCCCCAAAATGGGAGCAGTTTCACCGCAGAAGGGCGTCTCACCACAGCCTTTTCTCCGCCTCTCCTCAATCCATCCCTCCATCTTTAGACCCCACCCACTCCTCTTCTTCATGCATCCCTCCACCTCCTCCTCCAACCGATACGTCCAGACAGAGGTCCTTCAGTCTTCCTCCACAGAGGCAGGAAGTGTCCGAAAACTGCCCGAGATGCAACTGCAGCCAAACCCAGGCACTCTCATCCAATCAGAATCAAGCACAAACGCAGGAGCACTCATTCTTCCACGCTCTATCCAATCAGAATCCAGCACAAACGCAGGAGCACTCATTCTCCCACGCTCTATCCAATCAGAATCCAGCACAAACGCAGGAGCACTCATTCTCCCACGCTCCATCCAATCAGAATCCAGCACAAACGCAGGAGCACTCATTCTCCCACGCTCCATCCAATCAGAATCAAGCACAAACCCAGGAGCACTCATTCTCCCACGCTCCATCCAATCAGAATCAAGCACAAACCCAGGAGCACTCATTCTCCCACGCTCCATCCAATCAGAATCCAGCACAAACGCAGGAGCACTCATTCTCCCACGCTCCATCCAATCAGAATCCAGCACAAACGCAGGAGCACTCATTCTCCCACGCTCCATCCAATCAGAATCAAGCACAAACGCAAGAACACGCCTTCTCGCACGCTCCATCCAATCAAATGCCGCATCAGGACCGGACTTTTACCGTAGCTCCGCCCAGTCCCATGTTCTCCAGGAGGGGCTTCAGACCGGTGGCTCCTCCCCAGGCAGAGAGAGACCTGATGGGGGTGTATTCTCAGCAGGAGAGGGGGGAGGTTTTATCCTCTCTACCTCCACCTCCACTTCCACCAAAAGAGAGCAGTAAGAACAGGTGAGATCCGTAGTAAATTCTACATTTGGATGATATTTTTACTGCATTTGAAAGTCACTATTAATGTCCAAGTGAACAGCCTCCCATTTGATCTTAGAACAGCAACCTCAATTGGAATTTTTAAAAGTAAATGAAATCTTTTTTAATTATTATTATGTATCCCGGTTTCAATATGTGTTTATAACTGTGTTAATAAAGTCTATGTGTGTCCCTGCAGGGTATCTGAGATGATCATCAGCCCTGAGGAGGACAGAGTAACAGTGAAGCCTCTCAAAAATCACTCTAACATCAGACCTGGAGCAGAGTGGGAGAGAACTCCATCTCCCAGAGTTCATAGCGACTCAACCCTTCCACCTGTGATGGATAACGTCGGCGTGGATTCCCCTCCTGAATCCTACCTCTTCCACAGCATCGAGCCCCAGAAGATCTCTCTCGAACCAGGGAACGAATCAGAAACCACCCTGAGCCCAAGTCCCGCCCACAGCCTGGACGCAGAGCTGGACATCCCCATGGAGACGGACATCGACGACTTCCAGGAGGAGGACGTGCTTCTGGCCGAGGACGAGCCAATCACCAGCAAGCTGCCGTGCTTCGCTCTGCCGGTGACGGTGCTGGAGACGGACATCGACACGTTGGAGGAGGAGAGTGGAGGAGGGAGGCTGAGTCTGGAGGAGCTCTTCCCCCAAAACAGTGAGGGGGAGTCGGGTAGAGAGAGCTGGAGAGGAGCCTATCAGAGCCCGGAGCACAACACCGACAGCCTGGATAGGTAACAAGATTCAACATTCAAGGCTTTTATTTGGCATTTGTACAAAGCTACAGTGTAGTTGTGAAAATGAAAATCTTAGGTCCAACACAATAAAACAGATAAAATAGTGCAAGCAAATAAAATAGAATATAATATAATAGAAATAGTTCAGGTGTTTAACATGGCCTGTGGGATGAAACTGACCCTTAGTCTGGTGGTGGTGGTGGTGGTGGTGGTGGGTGTGGGTGGGTGTGTGTGTGTGTGTGTGTGTGTGTGTGTGAATTACACAGGCCATTTGATTTGTACAAGACCTAACTGTTCCTCCTCTGAGCTTATTCCCCGTTTCCCACAGCCTTTCCAGAGCACCTTGCTGCAGCCAAGTTTTTTTTTTTTTTTTGTAACTCTCCCTGTTACAAATGTTTTGTTTTGCCAACACAGGTGCCACCTGGGTAATTACTGCCACATATGACAGAAGGACCAGTCCTATATTTTTACATTAAATTAACATTGGAATTCAGTTTCGATGAAGAATTAAAAGTAAGAATGTCAATTAAAAGATAACAAAATTAAAATGCAAGAAGTTAAACCAAAATTGAAATGCAAGAAGAATCTATTCCCCTGTGTACTTGCTAAAAGGTAGATTTGAATGAATATATTCTCTCTCTTAGTATTTATTTGTCTGTTAACCACCAGCCTGTTTTTAACTTCTTCATCATCTGTTCTCCAGTTCCACTCTGCCTCTAATTTCTCTTACTATATTTATGTTTGGAGCTAACATGTTTCCCATATGCCCCTTTTGTTTTCCCTCTGCCTCCCTTCAGCCCACGTAATTGACTGCATTTCTTATTTATGTACTTTTCTAATCACTGTATTTTACGACCTCGTGTCTGCTTCATATCGCTCCGCTCTGTTTTATCTGTGCGTAAATAAAATAAACTGTGTTTCCCCCCTCAGGCGCTCCGGTGCGAGCTCCAGCTGCTCGTCGTATTACAGCACGTCGGCCGCCAAGGCCCAGCTCCTGTCTCAGATGAAGGACTTCACAGATACCAGAGAGCGGGACGAGGACGACGAGCTCACCTACAAGGTAACACACACACACACACACACACACACACACACACACACACACACACACACACACACACACACACACACACACACACACACCAACGTTAACTAAGAAGCATTTTTCTCAGATTTTACTTTTTATACAGAATGAACTTTGAACTGTATTTCGACTTTATTCTTAGAATTTGCTTTTTCTTAGTATTTTGACTTTTTTCAGATTCCTGACTTTTTTCTAAGAATTCACTTTTTTCTCAAATTTGACATTTATCTCAGTGTAATATTTTTTTCTCAGAATTCTGACTTATTTCTAAAGAATTAACTTTTTCCTCGAAATGTTGACTTTTTTTCTCAAACATGACTTTTTTCTTAGTATTTTGACTTTTTTCAGATCCCTGACTTTTTTCTCAAATTTGACAATTATCTCCCGAATTTTGATTTTTATCTCAGAATTCTGACTTATTTCTAAAAAATAAATACTTTTTTCCATCAGAATTGACTTTTTTCACAGTTTTGACTTTTTTTTACAGAATTAACTTTTTCTTCGAAATGTTGACTTTTTTTCAGATATCTGACTTTTTCTAAGAATTCTGACTTGACTTGTTTTCTCGCTACAATCAGTGTTTCCCAGACAAAGTAGTTTAGTGTATTTGTTTATAGTGTCGTGGACAGTCCCCATTGTCACAAAAAAACAGTAAGTGGGGCAGCTTTAGCCAACATTGCTCATTTCCAGCTGTTGTCCAGATGATAATAGACACCTTTTTAAAATCACAATACATCAACAGCATTTGATGAAGAACCTGTAAACTTCTCTGATAAGTGAACCACTAATGATGTGAAGCTGACAGCAGTGAAGTGTTGCCTGTTATCTCTAGATTAGCTTGTTTTAACATTGACTCCATGTGTGATGCAGAAACAGCTGATGGAGAGCCTGAGGAAGAAGCTGGGTGTGCTGAGGGAAGCTCAGAGAGGACTGCAAGAAGACATCAGAGCCAACGCCCAGCTGGGGGAGGAGGTGGGAATCCTGTCATTTCTTTATTCTCTTAATTGGATGTAGTCAAAGTAAGGGAACTTAAACGCACTAACAATGCAAAACGTTCAAAAATATTCACTGTTCAAGGATTAAAGGAGGTCTTCATAATACTTAATGTTATGTTTGACATGTTTTCTTGATAAATTACAGTAAAAAAACTATTAAATCTACAAGAAAACAAGCAATTAATTCCCTTTCTAGGAGATTATACCTGTGAACTTCTCTGATTTCAGACTCGCACTCACTCATTCATTCCTTATTAGTTGAATTGTGCACCTTACATTTTTTTATTGCACAATAATCTGTACATCAAAGGTTTAAGCACTGAGGGATGCGAAATGTCCAAAGTGCAGGTTTTGAGTTACTTTGAGACACTGTTTGATATTTAATCACAGTTTGGCCATGTTACGTGCCGAAACTAACCACATTTTGGACATTTCGTGAAAGAAAACCAATGTTAAAGGTCTCCGATCAGGATCCCTGTTGTACTCCTATGATCCATTTGATCTTAGAACGGCAACCTCAAGTATTGTTCATGTTTTCTTGTTTTTACATATTTTAATGATGTTCCTCATTTGTTATTGTGTGTGTGTGTGTGTGTATGTGTGTATGTGTGTATGTGTGTATGTGTGTGTGTGTGTGTGTGTGTGTGTGTGTGTGTTCAGGTGGAGAGCATGGTGGTGGTGGTGTGTAAACCCAACGAGGTGGATAAGTTCCGCATGTTCATCGGAGACCTGGATAAAGTGGTGAGTCTTCTGCTGTCGCTATCCGGACGTCTGCTGAGGGTGGAGAGCACTTTGGACACTTTGGACCCCGACACGGAGCACCACGAGAGGGTGAGCAAAACACAGGAAGAGGGGGGTGTACGTGCCATTTACTGAGGTTGAACACAGCCTTTAAAAAGCACAAAGAACGGCTATTTTAAGTATAGTATAGTATGCACAAACTAAAATAAAGCAACTTATTCAGAGACTGGGAGAAGAAGACGTCGTTATGGTTGTTACTTAATTCTGCTATTTTGATATGTGCGTCACTATGTGGGTTTATTTTATCGTCTTTTAAAGTGCTACAGCAGTTAGAGAAAGAGAAAGAAAATGGCTTTTAATTGTATCAATAGGGAGGTGAAAAGGTAGCATTACATTTCCACCAAAAGCTTCGGCCTGGTTGAAGAAAGGGGTTTAAAACTGACAACCAAAAGGTGAAAATTAAGAAAGATGGAGACTGCAAAAGTATAAATAATATCAGGGAATTAATGTGAGATGTTACAGGATCAGCTAGAACAAATACAAATGATATTTGTGTAAAGAAAGAAGGTATTTATGTGCAAAATGTAACACCCCGTCCCTCTGTCCTGCAGCTCCCCCTGCTGGAGAAGAAGCGGCAGCTGCTGCGTCAGCTGTCGGAGGCTCAGGACCTGAAGGACCACGTGGACCGCAGAGAGCAGGCCGTCAGCCGGGTGCTGGCCCGCTGCCTGACCCCCGAGCAGCACCGCGACTACAGGTACATTCAAATTCAAAGGTTTTATTGTCATATGCTCAAAGCTACAGTGTAGAAATGGCAATGAACATCTTCTGACCTGAGCTCCTCCAACAATGCAACATATATAATAAAATACAAAGTAGTGCAAAAAGTCTATGTACGTGTCAATAGAATATGATATGTACAAGAACAGAATATGAAATTAAATAATGTACATTAAGACTAAATTAAATACGGTTTAGATGACAACAGGAATGTTTATCGGGGCACTTAACAGAGCTCAGGTGTTTAGCAGTCTTATGGCCTGTGGGATGAAACTGTATTAACGTATGCTTTGTGTTAAGACAAATCATACGATAAGCAATATCAGAATCAGGTTTATTACCAGGTAGGTTTACACGTACGAGGAATTTGACTTTAAATATACAACAAATATAGTAAAATATAGCAGTATTTACATAGAAATAGAATGAAATAAAATATGGAATAAATATCGTCTTAAGTGCAAAATGTTTACAATTCAACAGTCAAATATTTCCCTGATTTGTCCTTGCATGACTCACATTTAGTGTACTTTTCTGTTTGAGAAATATCACTGGTCACCGGCTTGAGCTTCAATCTCAGGATCCATGTATTTATGATCCTCTGAAGAATGGAAGTAGTCATCACATACAGAGCATCAACTAGTTCCTGAACAGTGTCCTTCACATGCTGATATACAAGAGAGGGAGTTACACAGTCACAAGATGGAGGAATAAGTAAGGGATAATGTGCAGCGACGCGGTCATTATGGGGAAAAGAACACCCGACCGGCTGATCAGGAGCCCGACAAGAAGCGGAGGGATCTAGATCTGCATGAAGTCCACAGTTAACTCGACCAAACTTCTTTCTGCAGATGTGAGCGTCCTTAACAACGGTCAATAAGTCCTTGCTGCACATTATCCCTTACATGTTTCCATCTTAAGCTTTGTTAGTTAGTTCGTTTCGTAACGGACGTAATGTAACGGTTGTAACGGTTGTAGCTTTTCTCAGACGCGGAGGCGGAGGGATACTGACTTGTTGTGAAAAGTAACTACAATTCTACCAGTGGTATACGCTCATTATATCACGGCTAAGAACCAATCAGATTGCTTGATTTGACTTGTCCGTTTTATAAAAAGCAGTATTCAATGTTTGGTTCAGATTAGCTCCACGTCAGAAATGATCATGCTTGTCATATGTCTATCTCCATAGAGGCTGAATCATCATGTTAATCACATAGCTATCATATGCCTAAAACAGTCCTGATGCTCTTCTAGGTAATCATACATCCTGTCATGTACACAGCTACAGTTGGGATACCTTTGTTATCATGTGGACTCTGATATTGGAAGAGTACATTCAGTATTTTCCCCAACAATTTTTCACAAATATTTGTATGTGTGTTTTCCCCTCTCAGTCACTTTGTGAAGATGAAGGCGGCGCTGCTGGTGGAGCAGAGGCAGCTGGAGGACAAGACTCGGCTGGGGGAGGAGCAGCTGCGGGGGCTGAGGGAGAGCCTGGGTCTGGGGCTGGGCATCGGCATGGGGATGTCCATGGGATACGGACTATACTGACAAATAAAACAAGAAAGGGGTCTATGTTTTAAAGGAATAGTTTGGCATTTTTGAGAAATACACCACTCATGTCTGCCAAATCTCACTTTTGAATGTGTTATATTTTGGTTTTACAGGGAGAATGTGTGCAAGAATAAGTCTTAGCTGTGACTTCATGGAGTCTTTATGCTAAGCTAAGCTAATGGCGTTCTCGTTGTAGCTGCATATTTAGCAATCCAAAATGTCAGACTATTCCTTTAAGGATTAAAAGCTTTCCAGAAGGACCACAGCTAAAACACACTCTGAAAGTTCTTTATCAACAAGATAACAGACTGGACTGGACTCTGCTTCACTTGATGTACTGTAATGAAACTCGTTCTAACACTACGTTGCCAAAGACATTTCCTCTGACGCTGCTTTTTGTTCTGGTGTTTTCTTTTTTCTATTTAAATCTCCTGGTTCAGAGAATTCACGGAGACTGTTGTGTGAGCTGCAGCATTATTAACTGCCAATACGTACTCTGTATTATCTACCATAGTATCATATCACTTTGTATTTTAGCCGTGGAGTTTGAGACTCCACCACCGACGCGTTATACTGTCACGTGATAACTGTTCATGTACAGAAGACACTTGTGTTTATAATGTAAACAATGTGTATATAGTGATTTTGTTTTTTTAAATGACTGGAAATGCCTGTAAAAATTGGTTGTAAAAGATGAACGAGAAGACCAGAAAGAGATTACTGTATATTTTGACTGAGAAGAGTTCGATTAGTTCCAGTTTTTGTCGTTAGCTTGTTCAAATATTTGGTAAAGTGTATTGCCCCTAGCTAGGTCCCAGTTTGCATTGAAATCCTACATTGAATATTCACTTAAGACAGTATTAATAACACGTATTCCTATTCTTGTTGAGAGTTAGATCAGAAGTTCATGTCTGTGTGTGAGATATAACGCTACAGCCAGCACTTGTCTTAGCTTAGCTTAGCTTAGCATAAAGACTGGAAACAGTGAGACAGCTTGCCTCGACGACAGTGTTTTAGGGCAATTGTAGGTAGAACAATTATAATTAAGGAGCGGGAAGGATTTAAGTAAATATACAGAGAACAAATCAGAGCTTATAATTGTAAATGTGTGTTATTTTTAAATCCTCAAATCATACATTTGTGATTTTAATCTCATAGTTAAGCTGTTTCCAGATTTCATGCTAAGCTAAGCTAATTGTAGTACGATTTTAGCTTCATGTTGAACAAAGACATTAGTAGTGTCAATCTTTGCATCTAAATCTCAGCAAGAAAGAAAATAAGTGTTTTTTCCCCAAATGTCAAAGTATTCTTTTAAAACTTGAGTAAAATGTATATTTTTTGTACAGTAAAGTGCCAAAACTCAATCTAATTTTCCCATTTTTGTGAAATGTTTGCCAAAGTTTCCAGAGCTTTAACCGGTTTCCCAAAACTCAGAGTAAATCAAATAAAGAAAAACAAACAAAAACTGTAGCTGAACAAGAGAAGGAAGGGGAGGAAATGTGTATACTTTGGCTGTTGAAAGGTGGACTGAGGTTATGTAAAAAAAAACAGACGCTTAATCATTTCCTACTTTAACAAACATGCAGTTTAAATTGTATTAAAGGTTACTGTTTTACACTTGTTCTTCCACAGTTTGTTCTCACATATTTCCTGCTTTTTAAATACCAAACAACCCGGAAGTGAAGATGTCCACTCGTTCGTTCTGTACATATTCTGTGTTTTCTTGTACTATAAAAGCGATTTTCTAAGTCGACTGGAAACGTTTTTACTTGTCAAGATTGGAAAGAAAGTGGCTTGTTGTGAGTTTATATCTACTGTTCAATGTCATTTTGATTTATTAAGGACCTTTTTTTGTCTTCTTAAAACTGCATTTCAAACTGCAAAAACGCTCACGTGAGAACGAGTACCATAAATAATAATAATAGTATTTTAAACACGTTTCAAGTCTCCTGTTGTGATTTATATCCTACTCGGTTATAATGGTTTATTTTTGCTGATTTAGGACCCAATTGTCCTTCTTGGGGGGGGGGGGGGGGGGGGGGTTTATTTGATGGGACGTTAAAGCTCCCATGTCATGCTTTTCCGGTTATTACCCGTCCCCTTGTGTGTTATGAAGGTTTTTATGCATGTAAACGGTGTGCAGAGTCAAAACCCTCAAAGTACACCCTGTAGCGAGTAAAACTCTAACACAGAAAATACCTCCCCAAAACGCCTCGTTGGAGATACGTCACTGCCCATTTGAGTCTTCCATTTAGTTCCGGGTACCGCCTGATGTCATGCGGTACCCGGAACGAAATGGACCAATCCCGAAGAGCTATGGCCACACCAGCAGCGGCGTGTTCCTCCTCCAGAGGTTCGAAGAACCGGCATTTCACAGACGAAAGCTTCCAAAACATTGCCCAGTTTGAGGCCGGATATGCACAGCTTGTTTGGACCGTTTGGAGCAGGGGAAGATCTGGGTATACAACCTGTAAGTTTGCATTGTTATTTGTGTATTTATCAAACAAGACTGTTTAAATGTGTAAACTGTGTTGGACTGCTAAGCCATTGACACAGTGCTAACTGTGCTAACTAAGTTGCTAGAGTTTCCATATATCAACTCTAATATCAGCAGATGGCCTTGCATACATGTATCTCATAGCAGGAGAATGTCTGCATTCACACACAAATACCTATTGACAGTATACTGCGGGTGATTTGCCGGTCAGTCGCGAAACGTAATTACATTATAGCTGGCGTAGCGATCTAACACACGGAGCTTGAGCTAGTTTTGGTCAGAAAAACATTTTTGTGATGCTACGTTGCTAGCGTTTAAATATATCAACTACAATGTCAGCAGATGGCCTTACATGTTTGTCATGGCAGGAGAATGTCTGCAGTCACACACACGGAATACTCATACAGTATACTCCGGTTTACCGTACATTGTGACCGTACATATACTGCATGTAGCTAACGAGGCTAGCTGTATGCTAGCGCAAAACAATGTATTCATGCAAGTTACATTGTATGGTAGCAGAATACCCGTATACGATTGCAATTATAAACACGTTATTGCTAGCCTAATATGAACCACTAGCTTTTGTTCATAGTAGTTTTATTACACTGCATTATAGTTGCCTTTCCTCCAAGCTAACGTTCATATCGTGTTAGCTACCAAGGTAAACAAAGCTAGGTTAGCATATTAGCAGGCAAGCTGTTCATTACACAACTACTACTAACGAATCTAAAACAACTAAGTTTCTCTAATATTTTGTGATTTGCATTTGATTTCGTCCAGCCAGATCCTGGCGGACAATCCATGACGGGGAAGGGATTCTACTACTACTGAGGCGTCGTGCTAAAAGGCACCGCACCGCACCGGCTGTGCGCAGGCAAGAGGAGGAGGAATGGATGATATACCGTGTATATATGTATATTTATGTTCATTTTGTACATTTCTAAAAATAAAGTTTAATGGAAATACTTAGTAGGCCTATCCTTTCTTCCCTGAATTCATATATAGCAAACCATGATTTGATTTCTCATCAAACAGTAGTAGTTTATAACGGGTAAAAATAACTTACTCTTTGTTATGAGAGTAGCTCGTAGGCCACAACGGAAAGACAAGGAGACATACACGAGTTTACAAAACCACGGCACATTTATTGTGGTAAATGCAAAGATAGGTGGTTGAGAGGATCGCAGAGTTAGTCTTCCTGCAGCCGCTTTGGAGAGAGACTGGGGCCGTAGTGTCCGGAGGTGTCCGTGATCGCGCTGATTACCCTCTTCAGCTCCACCCCATCGTAAGACAAAGGCCCTGGGGCCGTCACACTCTTCTATAACAACAGTTAAAAATATATATGTATATAAAATATACCGCTGTACCGACGCCATGATAAGACTGATGTTACGCTGAGAGCAGCCGGGAAAAGCACTGACATGGGCGCAGCCTCTCTGGTGGTTGACTAATCAGAACGAGTGGCCGAGCTGACCAATCGGAGCACACTAGGCTCACAGGGAGGGGGGGGCAAGAGCTCCAACGAGTCGTTTAGTGGAGAAAGTGAATACTGCTGAATACACATGCTTGACAGAGATGCTGTATGCGAAACCAATGTGAGTTTGGAAAATTGCACAGTATAAATCTATTTTAGTATACCTCAACAATGTAATTATGATCAGTGGAAATGGCCATGACATGGGCCCTTTAAGTAAATATAGTTGAGGGCAGATTAAGGGCTGATGGATGAAGAGTGGAGTCAGCAGCTCTGCAGGAGGGATGTGGTGTGGAGGGTCATTAAAGAGAAGCATATTTACACTTACAATGTACAAAACTGTATTAATGTAGTGTATTTCTAACTGTGTGTTCATAAAGGGTTATAGTAACCAAAGGATGCAAGTAAAATAGCCATACATATTTCTAAATAGCAGTGGTTGCAGACAGTCTTTTTAGGGGCGGAGGTCATGGGAAGACGTGATCAATCAGGGCTAAAGTCATAACCACCCAGGATAACATAACACCTTGTTGTCAGCACATTTTGACTGTTAACTTCAGGATTTTCTCTCCACTAAATGTTCCACTTTTCCTCAGAAAGTGACCTGGTTCAATGCCTACAGTTGACCACGAGGTGTCGCCATTTAACTGTTTTTATCCTATAGAAGCAGTCCATCACTACAATATTACAGCAAAACACTAATGTTTTTTTATTAAAGGTCCCATGTCATGCTTTTCCGGTTATTACCCGTCCCCTTGTGTGTTATGTAGGTTTTTCTGCATGTAAACGGTCTGCAGAGTCACAAACCCTCAAAGTACACCCTGTAGCAAGTAAAACTCTAACACAGAAAAGACCTGTCCCAGGTGTCCCATGCTGCCCCAGAATGCCTCGTTGGAGATTTCTCTTTTTCCATTGTTTACTTCTTGGGTATAGTGACATATTTCGGGTATAGTGACGTTACGTAACGTAACACACTTCCTCACACTTCCTCACACACACACACTCGGCGGGACGTTGCGAGGCTCGCTGCTGCGAGGAGCTGGCTCACTGGTGTGGGGTCGGCGAGACACCGCGGAACTCAGCCTGGGCACACACACAAACTTCCAGCCAGGCTGCGGGTGTGTGTGTTTCGGGCTGGGTTTCACTGTGTCTCGCTGTCTCGCAGACGGCCACTGAGCTCACAGGGAGGGGGCAGGAGCTCCAACAAGCTGTTTAGGACAGAGAGTGAATACACATACTATACAGAGATGCTGTATGAGAAACCAATGTGAGTTTGGAAAATTGCACAATATAAATGTATTTTAGTATACCTCAACAATGGAATTATGATCAGTAGAAATGGCCATGACATGGGACCTTTAAATTATTTACATCTATTGAATAATTTATTTATTCTCTTGTGATATGAATACCACACACATTTATTTTGTTGTTTAATATGCTATTTAACTCCCATTTAAATTACAAAATTATGTGTATTTTATTGCAGTAAAAATACAAGGGATTACCGATTAGTTGAACTGCTCCACTGACCCATATGGAGAAGCATTGATTGCTCTTGACTCGATTAATATTCCTGGTTTGCAGATTAACACGTCAAGGCAGCTGTGATGAGTCCGTTAAACCGGAAAAGGAGAGATTTGACCTTCAACATAAAACGTACAATGTGACATCTCGGAAGAAAAGAGGAACGATTTAATGTAACGTAGAGGACAAACATGTAGGTATAAAATTAAGATCTGACTGTTAAATTATAGAAGAAAGATGCCATCAGTTAAAGCAAATATGTTGTACTTTAAATTCATAATCTACCAAACAATTAGGTAGACTTTAACCTTAACCGGAAGTTGTAGCTATTCTATCTAACTTGACGCTAGCCTTTGCAGTTTTAAATCGCAAAACACCACGTACTGCGGGCAATTTCCATCTAGTTTGTTATTTGTTGCACCTTACCAACATAATATTAAACCATGGCTTCTTATACGTGATTTCCTACCTTTTAAAAGCTGTTTTTGGGCCGGAGGATGACGCAGGATTTCTGCAAAGCGTCAAGTTTACATTGGCTACTGTTGACATAATCAGTGAGAAGACGACAAATCCGAGTCACAAGACTTCTTCCGAGCTGCCTTCTTTCAGGTAAAAAACAACCCATTTTCTACCATTATTCCTTCCTTATTTATCAAATACATGTAAAGTGGGTCGAGCGTGTTGACAATTAACGTAAGTAAGTACGTAAGACCAACGGTTATTTTTGTCAGTTTGTCACCACAGTGACGGCTTAAGCTAACGTTAGGCTAGTTATCTTCTTTTCTCTATGTGATATTTCCAGTTTGTTCTATTAATAATACGAAGAATAGTGGCGGACATTGTTGCGAAAAAAGTTCCCTGTAACTGGAGCTGTGCTGGCATCATTGGCTATGATGCATTGGTGCACTTAAGTAATTAAGTACATTTAATCAACTACTGTACTTTACTAGTACAATTTTGAAGTACTTGTACTTGAGTATCTACATTTTTCGCTGTTTTGTACTTCTACCTCACTATAATTCAGAGGTAAATAGTGTACTTTTACTCCACTAAATGTATTTAATGTCTTTATCAGAGGTGGGAGAAGTACTCAGATCTTGTACTTGAGTAAAAGTAGAAGTACCAGAGTGTAGGAATACTCTGTTACAGTAAAAGTCCTGCATTCAAAATGTCACTCAAGTAAAAGTACAAAAGTATCAGCATCAAAATATAGTTACCAAAAGTAGGCATTGTGCAGATTGGTCCATTTCAGAATAATATATATGATATGTGTTATAATGATTGATCATTAAAGTGTTCTCAAAGCTGGTAAAGGTGCAGCTAATGACTTTGTATACTGCAGGGTAGCTTGTGAATTTACTCCAGGTGGAACTCAAGTCTAATTTAAGACGTGATTATATTTACCATCATTCATCCACATCTGTAAAGTAACTAAAGTATTCAATAAATGTAGTGGTGTAAAAATACAATATGTACCTCTTAAATGTAGTGGAGTACCTCTAAATTGTACTTAAGTACAGTACTCTAGTGAACGTACTTAGTTACTTCACACCCCTGTTGATATGATCCTGATGAAACGGCAGAGGATGTGTGTTTACCGGACTCTTGTTGGGTTGTAAACAGGATTATAAGAGATGGAAAACGCTGGTTTCCGCAGCGGGAGCTTTGACAGCCTTCATCATCCCAGCGAAGATGATGATGACGAGATGGTGGACATTGCAGGAGCCACGCTAGACTTCTCTGCCACGGAGGATGACCCTCCCCTCAGCTCAGGTAACAGAGATGGTTTCCAGTCAGGGTCCAGAGACAGCTTGGGGAGGGGGTTACTCCTTGGTTTGACCATACATTCAAACCATCTCTGGCTCAAACCCAGCTGCTGATCTTTCTTGATTTCATACCTCCTCTACTTTTATATGCCCTCATATCCTGCTCTTTACTATCTACTATCTGAAACAGGCATTACACATCACAATCAACAACTGTGCAGCCTTTGGACTGCTGCAGTGTTGCTGAAATCCCATTATTATCATTATGTTCTCATAAACAATATGACAGGGCTTGTTTTCACTGTCCTCTGTGTGTGTGTTAGTTACAGTCTGCTTTGAGTGTGTGTGTGTCACATGCTTTGAGTGAGTCGTGGTCATACATCCGATTAATCAGTTACTGCATGTTCCTTCACTCAGTCACATACTTTATGGATTTACTTTGCTTTGCTTTGGCTTCACCTTTGAAATGAAAACCATTAAAGTGAGTCACTGTACTTCTGGTGTACTCTGGGTTTCTACACTGCTCGGTTACTGATGATGTCATCGTAATGTCACTGATCTGATTGTACAACAAGCTAAACAAAAAACGGAAATGACTTATACATTTGACTGTGCAGTGAGAAGATTTATCTCACGTTAATGATTGACGTCTGCTTTGCTTGTATATCATCATGGTGTCCGTTTAAGACCTCAGTTAGCTTATTGGAAGCAACACAAATAAGTGAAGACTTAATCAAATTTGATAACAACATAATATGATTCAGCATGAAAACAACTGGAAGAACAAATAGTTATGAGGAACAATGACTGTGGACATGTTGCATCAGACTTTTCATCTGACACCACTAAAAAAAACTCAACTGTCCTTTTATTAAAAACAACACATTTACAAAAAAACTGATCCAAAGATTCAAAGGCCTTATTTGAAAATAACACCCACGGCAAGATTACTTAAAACTTTCAGGACGATTCAGTGCATTTTGAAGTGACAACAAATAATCGTCAGACAGTGATTTGAGCTGCCTGGTTACTACTGAGGTCACAGTGACATCACCAGACAGGAAGGAAGTCTGGAGGCGAGCTTTTCTCTGAATGGAAGAAGCTTCTTGGGGGCTGGTTCCACTGCGTCAGCAAAAAACCGACAACCATGTATTTTTGAAATTACACGGCGGTTTGTGAAAGAAAATCCTCAACCCATCTGAGTGTGTAGTGGAGTAGAAACTGGAGGGTCAGCTAAACTGGAGTTTTCCTGATAGTAGTGATTCGCTGCTCTAGCTGATTATAATTGTGTGTCAGGCTCCGGGGAAATCAGGAGGCCAAAATAATTTCATCGTCCAAGATTAAAGTTTGACATGACTTTGGAACGGCAGAAGATAATAAAATAGGTCCCTGTGCCGATATACGAAAGAAACGTGTATTAACATCCGTAGCATCCTTAGCAATTAGCATTTTATTTCCTGGGTTTTTCGCATTTTCACTCACTCTTCCTACTTCTCTTCCCCTCTCAGACAGTGGAAAGTGCTCATTAGCGAGCACTTGGACTTGTTGCCAAGCAGTTCCTCTTTAAACCGTGCTAATCATTTCTCCCTGGGTAACCTGTTGCTAAGGGACTCATTGCACCCTAATGTTTATTTAAGAGTGTTAGCCTAGGAGGAGTTGCAAGTCTAAATGCTGGATAGGGATTGTTACCCACAGTGTGTGTGTGTGTGTGTGTGTGTGTGTGTGTGTGTGTGTGTGTGTGTGTGTGTGTGTGTGTGTGTGTGTGTGTGTGTGTGTGTGTGTGTGTGTGTGTGTGTGTGTGTGTGTGTGTGTGTGTGTGTGTGTGTGTGTGTGTGTGTGTGTGTGTGTGTGTGTGTGTGTGTGTGTGTGTGTGTGTGTGTGTGTGTGTGTGTGTGTGTGTGTGTGTGTGGTGTGTGTGTGTGTGTGTGTGTGTGTGAGTGTGAGTGTGTGTGTGTGTGTGTGGTGTGTGTGTGTGTGTGTGTGTGTGTGTGTGTGGTGTGTGTGTGTGTGTGGTGTGTGTGTGTGTGTGTGTGTGTGGCGAGGTGATAGTATTTTTACATATATTTGTTTAGAGCAGACAAACAAGCTTTCAAATGAAACGTATCAGTGTTTCTTATCCTACGCCTAAAGGAGAGGTCACCCCGGGACATTTTGAATTTCACATCAGCCGTCAATCTGTCCAGCTTTTTCGCATGTAGTAGAAAAAACCCTCTTTTAATTTTCCATGAAAGAAAAAAGGGCTGTTCTGAGCTCCTTCCTTTTTACTGCAGTACTCTTCTTCACATTCACGCTACCATCTCAACCACATACTCAACCACAGACGCTCCTCTGGGTCCATTAGATTGCTCATAAAGTGCATTATACACAGTCATAATGGCAGCCTTGTAGTTATAATCATCCTAAGCTAACATTTCAAAGGTGTGACTCAAACACTGAAACCTTCAGTCAGTGCTAATGATTGTTGTAATCGGACATTTTGTTTGGAGATAAAACATCATGCATACGCTTTCTGTCACTGAGATCACTCATAACGTCTGGAAGGTGTTGTTTGCAAAGTATTACCTGCCAATTCAGCTTCTTATACCTCATTCACGCCAACGGTGTTTCAGGGCCGGTTCGGAGCTGGACCGAAGAACCGGTTCTGAACCTGAAAAGCTCGAGCACGGAGCTTGAACCGGAGTTGCGTTGGTGTGAGTGAGGTATTACTGAGGTGCAGGACTTTCACAACATAATATATTATCTGTAGGGCTGGGTCATAACCCTAACCCTAACCTATAGAACACACTAAGATAAAAGCATAATGGTGCCTCTTTAATACCCAGTTGAAATTCTGTGTTGCAGATTGTAAGATAAGTTTAGGGTGTGTGTGTTTCATTCGTTCAAAACATCAATGTAAGGATATCCCGGTTGATCAAAACTCTTCAGAAGTGTTTCCTTCCCTCTTCAAGGGAGTTTTTTTATTAAAAGTTGTCTCTGTAATTTTCCAGTAGGACCGTCACATCATGTCCTGTTACTTTAGAGTCTCCTTCCAGCACGTGGAAAACGTGATCTCCTGGACATACAAAATAATCGAATCAACGGCAGGGACGCACATTCCTACTTTATTACATTTCCTCTGACGCAGTAAATATGATTTCAAGCTGCTAATGACAGCCCATCACGACAGCAACATGGTACAGAGAGGTTGTTTGTTGTCGCCAGGTGTCACGGGGGGTCACATGGGACGCCAATTCCCATGGCAACTCAGACCTCAGGAGTTCAAGGTTCGAATCCATACTGGAGACGGTGTGTTTTCAAGCGTGTGTGTTTTTCTGTCAGCCTTTTAAAATATGTGTGTGTGCATGTATATCTGGAAAATATAACGTCATGTGTTACTGTTAGTAGACTGTGACGCGGGCATATGACGAAGGTGACAAGGTGTCCAGTTTTGTTGATATTCTGTGGAAATGTAAGATTATAGTGTGTACTCTAGGACACCCACACACACACACACGAGTGAGTGCCGAGCTCAGCAGGAGGACATCCCTTGTTTGTAGAGAGCAGAGTTTAATAAGCTGTACTTATTATTTTTGTTTATTGATTATTAACTAGATCAATCTTTTGGTCTTTGAAATATCAGAAATAACAACAGATGTTCATTCCAGTTTCCTGCGCTCCTTGCACTTCACAGGCTATAGAAAGCACATGAATGCTTATTAAATTGCACTACAGCTAAGTGAACAGCTGAGATATTTCCCAAGTAAAATCCTCACATTAATGACATCATTTCTTATATTTTGTATTTGTCATTGGTGACAATTTCTTTCCAAGAACACAAAGCCATCAGACAGTCAAATAACAGAAATAGTCCAGTCCCAACATTTCAACGTAAGCACTCGCCACTGCCGGAGTGATTTGCGTTTTGTGGTTGAACACTATCTAATGTAACACAGTGCTGTATATCGATTAAAGGCTAACTCATGTGAGCACGATTGAGGTCATAATGGGTTCACAGTGTAAACAGAAGCTTTACGAGGGTTTAGTTTACACTTTTAAATTGATTTTTTTATGAACTTAATATCATTTTTTCAAATATAACATCATTTTCTTTTCAATTTATTTTCGTATAATTTTCGTCACAGTATTTTTTCATTGTATTTGCATAGATCTTTTCAGCATTTGATGTTCCCAGAACTAAATTGACATTCACCTTACGCACAGCCTGACCTCTTTAAAAACTCCCAGGGTCTCACAGGAGTCAAAAGGTGAAGACCTCATAAACACAAATCCCCCCCCCCTTTTATACGCAGAATAAAGCCAATCAGAGCAGCTCCCAAACCCCGACGACCAATTCAAAACAGTTCCGACCAGCTCAGCCAATCACCATCCACTTCCCAGACACATTAGCCAATCTTGACTCACTCCCAGAGCTCAGCTGGAGTCCACTTCCTCGAGGAGTTCAGAGGAGGGAAGAGACTCCAGTTTTGAGTTTCAGCAGCGACTGATTTGTTGTGTTTTGGGCTGAGAGAAAGATGGACTGGGAGTTCTGGAGCAAGAAGCTGGACCAGGAGGTTCTGGTGGAGGGTGGTGAGTTTTGGGATATTTAAGTCTGATCAAATCTGGAGTTTTAAATGAAGAAAGCCTGTCATCATCTCTTGTCAGACTGTCACACAGGCTGAGCTTGAGTAACACGTTTTATGTATTTTCTTCCCCTGGGTCTGCTGCATTTCAGTTAGCTTTTGTTAGCCTTTAACTCCTTTTTAAATGTTTTTTTTTTTTATCTTTAAGACCATTTACAACCCACCAGGCACTGACTCATGTGGTTAATGTTTCTGTGATGCATGTTTAGGGTCACAGAGGCCGCTTTGTTCCTCTTTATACGGTCATAACTTTGCAGCTGAGGTCCAACTGGGGTCCTTAACACTTGTTTGCATTTTAGTCCACTTTCTATGGATCAGGGAATCTTGAAATCTCTCTGATGGCTTTCTCTTGGTGTCGTTTGGCTTGTCGTTTGATCTGATTTTTTCTCCTAAATGTATGGAAATGACAAATTCCTGTTATTCTTTTCTAGTGTGTTTGGGTTATGTGAGTCTCACAGAGTGTGTTTGGGCTACTACTGTATGAATGAGGAACAAAGGTCAGTCACAGTGGTTGTGTTTACTGTAAATGGGGCAAATCCACTTTAAATAGAAAAGAGCACACAAGGACAAACTGTTGTTATCTTAACCTATTTACTCTATGACAAATAATACAACTTACACATGTTCAAAGCTGGAAAACAGAGAGATCTAACCAGACAAACTAGATTATGAGCTTTTGAAGAGGGTGGGGAAACATGGCGATGTATGACATGTGACAAGATGTGTCATTCTCATAGATGACATGTCATTTTAAACAGTTTTTAAATTTGGTTACAAGAAATTGAATATTAAGCGCATTAGTGACACTTCAAACGTTTTTCTCAGATGGATTTTTGATGTGCAAAAGATGGCCAATAACAGCCCAAACACTCCAACATTTCCCATTCATTTATTAGCTACAACATGAATTTAAGATGTGCAGGTAAACAACTTCAATATCCCAGAAGCACAACAGATTGTTTGCAAGTGACAAACTGGTTTAAACCTCGCATATAATGCAAAGCATATCATGATTGTTATGACATTCTTCACTCCACAGTGTTCTCACTAACACCTGGCTCTCGTTACATGTGGGGTTTTATTACCATCAGCTGACTCTTGTAGCCTTGAAGATAGTGCTGGTGTGTTGCGTAAATCCAGACAGTTCGATTGGTGACATTGTAAAAGAAAGTACGTTTTGAAGGGTGTGTCAGTGACAGAGAGAAAGAGAGAGCACATTTCTTAATGTCATTCCTCCGGAACATTCTTGGAGGTTTAAACCAGTCTAACTTGTCAGATCAGGTGTATTGTTTTAGTGGATGGATGTTCTCCTTCCCCGTGTCATGTTAGAAATGTGGCGGCTGTGTTCGTGAAGTAAAGATGGCGGAGATTAAGATTCTAGCAAAGAAAAAAATGCAAAAAAAAAAGTGTGTGTGTGTGTGTGTGTGTGTGTGTGTGTGTGTGTGTGTGTGTGTGTGTGTGTGTGTGTGTGTGTGTGTGTGTGTGTGTGTGTGTGTGTGTGTGTGTGTGTGTGTGTGTGTGTGTGTGTGTGTGTGTGTGTGTGTGTGTGTGTGTGTGTGTGTGTGTGTGTGTGTGTGTGTGTGTGTGTGTGTGTGTGTGTGTGTGTGTGTGTGTGTGTGTGTGTGTGTGTGTGTGTGGTGTGTGTGTGTGTGTGTGTGTGTGTGTGTGTGTGTGTGTGTGTGTGTGTGTGTGTGTGTGTGTGTGTGTGTGTGTGTGTGTGTGTGTGTGTGTGTGTGTGTGTGTGTGTGTGTGTGTGTGTGTGTGATTTAAAAAAAAATTATAGTTTTTTTACAGCGTCTTTCAAAAGTGCTTCACATTGTTGCAACAGGAAAAATCTTAAGATATATAATTAAATAAGTGTCAATAACTTATTCAATCACAAACCTGTCTTACTGTCTATGTTTGCATGTCAGTTTCTTATCTCAGCATTACCATTTTTCTCATAAAAAGCTCAACACACTCTCCTCACACAGACAGGAAGCACCACCTCCTCCATAAAGGACATTCTGAATACATCCATTAATCCTCAAATGAAAAGCCATTTTTCTTCTGTGCTCAGGCGATTGTTTCTGCCCCAGAGTGACCCGTTTCCACTCTGTTCTCGCTAAATCAGAGCTTCCCGCGTTGCTTCCTGTTTCCGCTCAGGGCCGCTTCTGATTGGCTGCTGCTGGCTGCTAATTGTTGCTGTCTGCGGCTGAAAAGCTGCCAGGTCCTCAGAGCTCTCTGTCTGTCAATATTACTGCAGCAGGTCACAATGCACATCTTCTGAAGCGCCTTTGTTCTCCTGCTTTTCTTTGTTCACACACAGCGATAATAGTGGGTTTGCTGCTGCTAGCACTTTCTCAAGGCTTGTGGGTGTGTGTATATTTGTGTGTATGTGTGTGTGCAAAAGTCAGTTTTCTGATGGGCACATGAGAGCTGTTTGCATCAATATTGCTGCGACTGACTTATCTACTTTTGGAAGACAGAATATGTTCTTGTAGAGAGATTAATTCAGTGAAAAATATATGTTATATTGATTTTAAAACACAACTTTAAAGTATCACTGAGTTGTATTTCTTTGTTCTAGGTTAGCTTCATATCAGAACTAATTTGACTACGCTATGAGTCAAATATGATCTCACATCTAGCACCAAAGCAATTCATGGTCCCTACACAATTATATTTGTTTTAGGGGAAATATTCAGACGATATTCCCCTTGCAACACCCCCAGAACAAGGTTTACATTATTAGCCATAATGCTAAGGTGTTAAGTAAGATTCATCTGTATTTGATGTGACATTATGCATAGGCTATAATTGTGCAGATTTTAGATATAAGAGGAGATGCTACTTTGAGTATATTGACATAAGCTGAATTCAGTTCACACCGGGCCTGGTGTTGTAGTGGATCAAAACAAAAAGTGTGGGAAACACTGCTGGAGTTCTCTGTGTGTGAAGGAGGTCACATGCTCGTCTTGTACATTCATTCTATTTATTGTCTTATAACTATGTGGAAGCATGACCACGTCTGACCACAGAAAGTGTGTCACCCACAAATATGTAACTGATCGAGCAACAGGGCTGAATACAAAAGAACAACTTGCTTTAAAATGACAAGTCAAGAACACTGTGGTCGCAGGGAGAGCCTGGTGTCTGTGTGAGGACGTTAAAGGTCCCCTATGATACCGTTTTTCATCAACATATTATAGGTCTCAGATATATACAGAACATGTCTCTGATTGGCTGAAACACCAAACAGATCATTGCAGCATTACCCATAATCCCCTCTGTTTCAGCCCCGTTTCAAAAGTGCTGATTCTCTGTCTGTTACTTTAGATGAAAATAAGGAGCCCCTCCCCACGCCCCTCTGTTACCTTGGGTGCTGATTGGCTAATGGTTACTCAAGCCAACACATCGTTATGACATCACAAAGTGGCCAAAATCTGATCAGCTCATTTTCAGACAGGTTTTTATAGAAATGGATCAGGACAAAAAGAGAGAGAATCTTTGTTCCTGAAACTTTCAGAGTCTCTTTCCACAGAGGGGAAACATGGTGATGAAGAAGAGACATGAAGAAGAGGGGACACATGTTGATGAAGAAGAGACATGAAGAAGAGGGGACACATGTTGATGTAGAAGAGACATGAAGAAGAGGGGACACATGTTGATGTAGAAGAGACATGAAGAAGAGGGGACACATGTTGATGAAGAAGAGGCATGAAGAAGAGGGGACACATGTGATGTAGAAGAGACATGAAGAAGAGGGAAACATGTTGATGTAGAAGAGACATGAAGAAGAGGGGACACATGTTGATGAAGAAGAGGCATGAAGAAGAGGGGACACATGTTGATGTAGAAGAGACATGAAGAAGAGGGAACACATGTTGATGAAGAAGAGACATGAAGAAGAGGGGACACATGTTGATGTAGAAGAGGACATGAAGAAGAGGGGACACATGTTGATGTAGAAGAGACATGGAGAAGAGGGGACACATGTTGATGTAGAAGAGACATGAAGAAGAGGGGACACATGTTGATGTAGAAGAGACATGAAGAAGAGGGGACACATGTTGATGTAGAAGAGACGTGAAGAAGAGGGGACACATGTTGATGTAGAAGAGACGTGAAGAAGAGGGGACACATGTTGATGTAGAAGAGACGTGAAGAAGAGGGGACACATGTTGATGTAGAAGAGACGTGAAGAAGAGGGGACACATGTTGATGTAGAAGAGACGTGAAGAAGAGGGGACACATGTTGATGTAGAAGAGACATGAAGAAGAGGGGACACATGTTGATGTAGAAGAGACATGAAGAAGAGGGGACACATGTTGATGTAGAGGAGACATGAAGAAGAGGGGACACATGTTGATGTAGAGGAGACATGAAGAAGTGGATTTTGCATAATAGGTGACCTTTAATATGCGCCCCTCTCTCTCTCTCTCTCTCTCTCTCTCTCTCCCCTCTCTCTCCTC